GGAGATAATTAAGATGTAATTGGTTAATGATTACACTATTAACATTTATAGTAAGAATTTATTGTTAGTTTGGGGTATGGTTGGAGTCTCGCGAATCGGAATTCGCGACACCTTTTAATAGTAAGGATGTTTGACTAGACTGTTATGGCAGCAATCTGATCAAAGTTTCACAATGTGAACATTCATCATTTACCACTAAGATAATTCAACTATTTATCAAAGCATTTTATAAATATTATTGAAAATTACTATTTCCATTAAGATGATAATCATAATACATCGCTGAACTTTTATACAAGAAGAAAACTAAAAGTGAATCGACTAAAAGCTCTCAGTGAATGCGGAACTGTCTGTCGATTAATGAGAGTATTAAGTTCTGCAGCTTCTTTTGTGGATCAGGAAAGGATTGTATCTCAATTAGTTCGTTAAGCTGAGGTCATCAATTAATTAATAGCATCATATATACTGGCCTTCAATAAAAAGTATTCAAAATGAGGCACAAATGGTTCATTTCAGCATCGTTTTGATTGAAATTTTGAATGTCGACATTAAAATTGCTCAATTTCCTGACCGTATTGATAAAATATTATATGTTGGTGAAAATATGCAAGGGCCATATCCGGTTACCATAGGAGTACTGAGAGTTATCGCTGCAGATTCAGGACTGAACGAAACCCTGTCTTATTCACTCGTTCAGGTTATCTTTTTCGCATTCTCCATGGTATAATTGTCGAAATGAAACAGCTAGGTTGTAGCTGTTTCACTGTTTCATCAGTGAGTGACCAATAACGATTGCAAAGAACTATCACTACAGATAGGAAAAGGTTAATGCAAAGGAAGGTGCACAGCGTTTTAAAGTACTGATCCATTTCTTTCAAGCATTTTTTTTTATCTTCTGTAAATCGGAGAAAGGTTATTATTTTCTTTTAAGGGTAACAGCACGCTATTTCGAGTGATACCACAAACAGGCAAGCTGCAAATCACAGAACCGCTCAATTACGAAATACAGGACCGATATGAATTGGTTGTGCAAGCAAATGATCATACTGTTTCGAGACGCTGCAGTACAATGATTATAGTTACTGTTGTAGTACTGGATGTAAATGACAATGTACCAATCTTCGAGCAGCCTCGGTACTACATTGAAGTGATGGAAAATAAGCCTGTTGAAAAGAATTTAACATTATTGTGTCTGAAAGCAACAGATAATGATAAGCAGGAATTCTCGATGATAAGGTAAGAATTTTTTGGGAACTTTTAAATCACATAAGACATCATCATGACTAGACTTCGGAACGGAGGCATAGGAAGGGTTCTACTTATGCTTGCTGCAATGGTTAAAAAGCGCGCTGATGACTAAAAAGGCCAATGTAGGATAGGCAGGTCCGTTGCAAAAGGTACAGAAGAACGTCTCTTTAGGCAGTATTGACGAGGCACGATTCTGCATTGTCTTTCCCTCTCGAAGCTGATTCTGCGTGTGTTCTCAAAGGATGCAGCAACGTTATGGATGGTGTAGGAAAATTAAAATAAAAGTTTTTGGTTTGTCGGATTTGATTTGGAAGGGTTTGTTCTTAGGCACGGACGAATATTCTGAGAAGGTATTCTTCGTTGGTTCAGGAGGAAGTTATTAGTTCGCATAGGATAGTAGTAAACATATCGAAGAGAGTAGGGAATACAAAGTACAGTGGAGTCTTTGGTTGAGTATTTGAAAAAAAATGATAATCATCTAGTTATAGTTTTGAGTATATATACAGTTTTAATTAACACAAAGAGCATATTTGGTGGGAGTGGTTTATAACAAACATTACATCAGATTTTCCTTTGGATAAAGAAAACTGTCAAAATCCGATTACGACAAAGGACTCTATTTGCAACATTAAACATTGCAATTAAAATTGGTTCTCGGATAAGAAATTTAGCATAGGAATTGACTTTTTTTGCCATAAAAGGAAAGGATGAACAAAGAAAAACGACATGAGACAATGAATTTGAGG